GCAATCAAGATGCAGACAAGCTACTGCCTATCTAATCCTTGAGCAACCAGTCGCTGAAAATAAGCCGCTTACCTTCCACACTCACGATGGTTTTGCCTGTTGACCACGTGTCTTGAAACCATTGCAGGCCTGAGAGTGACGTCTCCGTATGACTGACTTTTCTCCGCCAGTCAGCTTGGACCGCACGTCTTATCCACAGACAGAAAGTGCTGCGGAATTGCTTATTGGTCCAATCCTTCCCTTCGAACACAGTTTCGTTGCGATGCTGCCAAATTACTGCAAAACCTACATCCCTGAAAGTCTGAGCCACGTATCCCCAGCCTTTCCGTTTGGGAACGTTGGCTGGAAGGCCCCCCAGTAAGGTTCATTCCTTGGACCAGACCAAGCTTGAATTTGATATTCTGTTCCAATGCTTAATGATCCATTTCCAAAATCTATCAGAGGCCGGGCAATCCCGCCATAGGTGGGTGAATGACTCAAATGCCCATTGGCATCTGGGGCACTTGAGATCGATTCTCATCCCCCGTTCTGCTACCCACACTGCAGAGGGGGTAGAGACCATCGAGACCAGCCAAAGAAGAGAGGCATGTCTCTGGTTAGGAATATATGATAGTTGTTCCCAGCAAGAGGTTAATGCTGAGTCTATATCAATCTCACTCGTTTGCAGAAGTTGAGCCCATCGTGCACGTGCGATCACTATCGGTTGTTTTAATGGCTGATTTTTCGAGTATCCGATTTTGATCGTGTAATCTGCTAAGTTAGCATTGGATCCTCTGGGACCAGTAATAGTCCATTCCCACAGAGCGGGGTCCAGTTTAAGCTGCTGAACTGGCTAGCCACAGTTGAATAACTGACCAGACAGGGAGCGGTCAGGTTCTAACCGTTCTTGCACTCTGATTTGTTGGAGAGTCTTCCCCACCGGTGGTGGAGGGTTGTCCTCTTCCTCCTCAATAAGAACTGAGTGATCCACAGACCAACATTGAAATTTTTGCAGCCCCTGCTCATCAATTGAGGTCAGTTTCCACACAGATTGCAAAGGGGGGTCAGAATCAGCGAACCAGGTTCCTGGGGGGTCAATCCCGTCTGGTGCTAGTAATTGTTTCCAGTGCAATGGTATTGCATTTAAAATCAACTGTTTTCTATCTTCCATTTGTCTTACCTGGCCCAGTTGTTGTCTTAACTTTGTATCTGTTATCCACGTGCCCATGATTGAATCCCACGGATCCTTGATTCGCAGCACGCCTCGCTCTATCCATGACCTACCAAAGCTTGCCCTGGATGAATCAGCTTTAAACCACTCCCCTGACTGATCCCGTATTTTGGGATTCTCAAAGAGAGGTTGGGCCAGGACTTCGGCTTTCGTCCGAGGTTCTGTCCAGCCATTCGGCCTGAGCTTCTTCCAGGCTTGAATGATCATTGCCCACAGCGGGGATTTGATCTTTCTTCGCTGATATGAATACAATTGGAGACAGGTCCAGACATCCTGTGGACGGAGTAAATTTCATTCCTGACTAAGAATTTGTTTCAGCCAGGTACACCCAGTGGGGAGCTGGAGAAGCAAGGCTAGCTTTGATTATCCAATTACACAGCATAGCTGTAATCTGTCTCTGTGGATCCAGTATGCCCAGACCTCCCTCACTACGAGGGAAGCAGAGCATCTCCCACGCCACTTTTGAGATGAATGATTCGCCCTCTTTCGCATATGGTTTCCATATCAGTTTAGCTGCTCTTTGTTTAATGAGGGAGTACGAAAGGTTACTCAGACCGCGAATGCGACCAACATACCACAGTAAAGCGAATAAAGCACTGTTTACAACTACGGCACGGCCAAACAAGGAAAGATGGGGGACTTTGCCCCACGAACCAAGCCTGCAGAGGACCTTCTGAACGAGGATGCTCTCTTGCATCTCCGTACAGTATTTCAATGTCACTTGGACACCCAGAAAACGTTCTGATTCATTATCTTTTATACGCTTCATGCCCCATTCCACGCAAAGTGAAAAGCTCTGTGGAAGAAAGTACATAGACTTATGCCAATTTAAGGCAGCTTCGGAAAGGTCTGAATACTCATCCAAGCATGACTTGAGTGCCCCCAAAGATTCAGGTGTGTTGTAAGAAACTGCAAACAGGTCGTCGGCCAAGACTTTCACCTTATATGGAGACGGGCCTGCCTGTAGGCCGATGATCCGAGAATGGGCCCGAATATTATTCAAGACACCTTCCATTTGAATGACAAAGAGAAGGGGGGCGAGTGGACACCCTTGTCTTAACGATCGTGTCAGGGAGAACTCCCCTGAAAGGCGACCATTAACCATCACAGCTGTTGTAGAAACTGTGTAAAGCATTCTTATCCATTTACAAAAGTTATGGCCAAATCCCATTCATTTCAAAGTGGTTAGGACGTATGACCAGTTTACCCGGTCATACGCCTTTTCCAAATCAAGCAAAAGGACGGTTATATCCAAATTTTCATTCTGAACCACTTCCAATGTTTCAACAGCAGTAATGATGTTATCGAATATGGAGCGCCCTTTAACGAAGGCAGCTTGACCTGAGTGCACGATGGAGGGCATATATTGTGCCAACCGTCTGGCAAGTACTTTCGCCAGAATCTTAAACGAAACGTTCAATACAGAGATCGGTCACCAATTTCGTATCTCCGATCTATCTCCTTTTTTTAACAAGACAGAAATTATGCCTCTACACATGCCTTGAGATAGTCTACCGTCATTAAGTACCTCGTTATATACAAGAGAGAGATGTTCACCAATTTCTGGCCAGATTGAAACGTACAATTCTGCTGGGAGCCCATCATCACCTGGGGCTTTTCCGACCGGCATGGCTTTCAACGCCTCAAGTGCTTGTGTGGCTATAACTGGACGATCTAAGTTAAGCCTACCAGCGTCCGAGAGGCGGGCTACTGTATTCTCCCAGTGTGAGGTTGAATCGTGCAGGTTATCACATATCGGGTGATTTCGCTTACGCGATGTCGATATATTTTTATAGTATAAAGCAGCATATTTGCATAGATCTTTGAGCTCTTTGGCTTTCGAAGCAACTTCGTCAAAAGGATGTTTCAGTTCTTTCATTGGGACTAACGACCTTCGGGAAAGTAACTTTTGAAAGGTTTCTTTCGTCATCCGGTCATTAACAATTATTCCTTTGACACGTAAGCGTTCTGTCCAAATATATGACTGTTTAACTTGCAGATCATCCCATTCTGAAAGTAAGCGCACTCTCTCTTTTCCCCAGACTTTCTCGAAAACTGGGTGCTCTATCATTCTAGACCCCGCATAAGGAACTTGTTTTTGCAGATTGGTCAGTTTCTTATTCCTCTCGAATGCGAGGATTCTCGAAATAACATTCAATAAATTTGAAAAGATTATTGTACCCGAATCCCACCATTTGACAGTCGTCGTGAAGTTAGGGCGTGAGGTAGCCCAATCTGACCATAATTTCCTCATCCATGCAATAAGCCCCGATTCGCTTACGTTTTGGGTGTTAAATCTAAACAGGTATTTTCCTCGCTTGGTCTCAAAAGTTGAAAATGTAATGATTATTGGGTTGTGATCGAACATGGGGTGCTGCAAGGATTGTAGATTCTCGGTGGAGTCCCACAAATTTGCAGTAGTTAAGAAATAATCCAGACGACGTTTAGTGATGTCTGTGGACTCACAATAATGTGAGTACCATGTCATCATTGGGGTGCGATAACCGAAATGGATCTATCAAATCCATTTAGTCCATTAGGACATCCAACTCGAGCTTATTACGAGTGCATCTGGCATCAGGCATCACATCGAGGGTTAAATTCCAATCGCCGACGATGATTATTTTTCCCCCCTCCGGAATAATCATCAACAGTTCCGAAAGAAAGTTCGTTCTTGCCTTAGATTCCACAGGTGCATAAATACAAACAAAGATCCAGTAACAACCATCCCTATAGCATTTCACCCATGACCATCTACCCCACAGGTCCGAATAAAAACCCACTATCTCAGCATCGCAGTTTCTATGTATTAAGATAGCGGTACCTCCTTTAGTTCCATTTGCAGGGGACCACAGTTGGGGACCATCCCACCAGTTTCTTAGAGCAACAATATTTTCCTCGTTCAATTTCATTTCCTGCAGACAGGTAATTTGCACGTTTTTCTAAAAAATCCATGATTTCAATCTCTCCTTCTTCTACCTACCCGTAGTCTCCCCTAGCCCCCTTACATTCCATGACGCGACTCTATACTTGACCATTGCTTTGGGAACCCCGACCGCCTGAATGGATGCTGGGAGAACCTTGTGAAAGAGATAGCCAAAAACATGTCAGCATGTTCCGGATATACGGAGAGTCCAACTTCTTTTCTCTGAGTAATCTACTGTCCACATCTGCCAAGCATTCGGCATTTCGAGCGGTGGGATTTTCAGACGTCTCAGTTCTGGCTTTCGTGACTCTGCTATCCATGCAAGAGGAATGAGTTTCATGCCTTCGTTTTCAAGTTTCTCTAGTTGTCCATCCACAAAGCGAGCATCCAGGACTGGAACAAAGAACTTTATTCTCTTTCCATTGCCATCCGGATTGTCAGTAATGATTCGGGGCATTGAGCAGTCAGGAATGATACGAAACAAGAAGCGGTCGGCAGTAGCCGGGCGAATCAGAGCTACCATTCCCGAAGGCATTGGTTGCTCTGGGGCAGGAAGTGTTATAAATACTGTGGAACCATCCATCATCGACCAGGCTATAGCCCAGAAGGCATTGCGAGCATAGGTACAAAATAGCGGAAGGATCCTGTTCTCAACGTTTTGCAGTTGCCCTCTGGCGAGGGAGGCTACCGGGGTGCGGCGCCTTGTGGTTTTGCTACCCGGAGTCCCAATCTCCCTAATCCGACCTTGCGACGGGTCGGAACGAGGGAGCGAGGTGTCAGAGTGCTCACCTTGGATTCTGCTGCTTGATGCAAAACTCCCTTCCAAATCTAATCTCCTTTGCTTACCTAGTGTGATAGATCGTACACCCGCAGTGTCGTTTACTACTTTTGTCCCATGTTGATGCTTCCGTCTGGATGGCCTGATGGTGGTGTAGATGCTTGTCCATCGTGCTGAGGAATCCTTCAAGTTGCCGGTTGTTGACCCAAAGTACCGACACCCGTTCCTGAGTGTACAGCTGGGGAGGGAAGCCCTCCATTCGGGAACAGCTGTGCTGAGTACAGCGACGATAAGCCTCCTTGTTGAGGTATCCATGGCATGAACGCGTGGCCCGCACCATTTGGCATCCCATACATTGGCATGTGAGCGCCGTGTTGAGCACCCGTTGGGTCGAAAGCTGGATTGAATGCTGGGTTGATGCGCAGGTTCGAGAAGGCTGGAAAGGCGGCTCCTAGAGGGACCATGCTCTGTCCCATCGCTGCTCCCAACATCGTCTGTGATGGAGAGGTGCCCAGATGGCTCATAGGGCCAGAATATACCACTTGTTGTTGTTGACCATGTTGTTGAAGTTGGTTGTTGCTCTGATTGCCTTGCTGGCTGTGAGCGCCTTGAGGTATCCCTTGATTGACCTGGTTTCCTTGGCTGCCTTGACTGATTGCTTGCTGGCTTGCACCTCCTCTTCTACACTCGTTCGCTGTATGGAAGAAAGCTCGACAACGCCGACAACGAGGAGTATCCGACGATGCAAGTTTGACTTCTAATTCATCGCCCTCGGAGGTAACGACCCAAATTTTGTCTTTCATATTCGGACGTGCATTTAGGTCGAGATTGAATTTCACATTGATGAGAGAGGGTTTCAATCTATCTGGTTCTATAGGGTGTCTACGTATGACTGATCCTATAGCCTTGCTCACTTGAGCCTCCAGATAGAAGAGTGAGTCCATTGGCACTTGTACAACAATGACTCAGAAGGATTGGAGATCCTTTTCCCGTCTCTGCTCTTTCAGTTGAGCCTTTGTTAGCCATGGTTTGAATTCCAGTCTATATGTAGTGGATCCTATAGTTATCTCATCCTGACCTTTTGTGACCAGCCATAGAGCAATCGCACTGTTCTTAGCTACATAGGAGACTACGTTCGGGCTTTCTATCTTCACCCTCCCTCGTCTGAAAACCTCCGCCTCGAAGCTTCCATCCTGTACCTTCTCGTCCTCATAGGCCCTAACTACATCATCCTTTACTTTTTATGGCAAGAACCTTGCTCCGTCTCTGAAAATAACCGTTACAGTATGGTCCTTCAACCAGGCTATTTTAACCCTATCAAGCGTCAGGTTCACTTTAAATTTCGCTTCTCTTCCATCTATCGTTGTTTCGCCTGGGTCGATCTCTGCTGGAAGAATCCCTTCCTCATAGCAGAGTCTCATCAGTTCCTTCACCCTCTCTTCATCCTCTTTGTCCATCCCTGGGTCCGGCGGGGGGGACCGAGGTCCCCTGACGCCGTCTCCTTCCGCCATCATGCCAGCCTCCATGTGAGAGTTCGAGCACAGAGAGCAACTGCAAGACCTCCTCGTATTGCTTGTTTTCCCTCCTGATCAGTATCAACTTGGGACATCCACACTTTAACATTTCCTTGATAGGACAGACAATTCCTACAACTGACATCTAAGGTGGTTCTGCACCGGCTGGGCGAAGATTAGACCTCTGTCCGAGGCACTCGTTACCGACTGCAGCAGGCAGTTCTCCGATAACATGGCGGAGAGAGATGGCTAACTCTATGGCCGTGGCGTCATCATGTTGGTGACGTCTCCGGCCGCTGCAGTCCCCTCGTTACCGGGGGGATAGCGCTTGGTCCGATGCGCTGTGCGTCGGCGGAAGCGCTCCGGCCAAACCCAACCCGAAGTTCCCATCTTTGCCAACTTTGAAGTGGCCCAATAGTTTATCCCTAGGTCATATATTGAATACCCCCCCCCACCGCCCCCCTTCCCCTCTCTCTCTCTCTCTCTCTCTCTCTCTCTCTCTCTCTCTCTCCAGCTCTCCCGGTCTCCGTCTGCCTGTCTGTT